ATTTCTTTACTTTGTTTTCATTTTGTATTTTAAATTTTTCACCTTTATTATAATTGATATATAATGTGTGTAAATGGACAAAAAATAAATAAATGAGTGCACATGAATCAGTGACATACACATTCATCGTGGTAATCGTCAAACGTGTGAAATTACAGCAAACAATGCGGCTGGGTACAGTCGGATCGACGCTTTGTCGTCGGGATTTCTTCATTATTATTTTTTAATCTAAAACAAAGCATGTCAACTATTGAATTTAATTAGGCCTACAGTAAGTCTCATCTTCATCTATTTTGTTGCATTCCTCAAATTCTGGCCTAGGCCTACCTGGGCCTAGCCTAAAAAAATCGCGTCAGATAGCCTTGGGCCTGCTCGACTTAGGCCTTTTGGTTTTTAAGAGCTTTCACGAAGACGCCGACCCCCCCCCCCTGGGAAAACGTGGAATGATCGCCAACCGGCACTCCAAAAAGCTGGTGACATCCCTGTACCATATTTGGGTTCTAATTTGGTTAATAGGAATAGCCTGATAAGCTCATAGGTCTCCGCGCCATCGTAGCTACCCATGGTGACGTCAAAAGTCGTATCTTTCTTGCGCCAAACCGAATTGTAATTGAATAACAGTGTTCTTGGCCTTAATTATTATCTCTCTTTCATCTTGCGTAATTTTGTCAAATTGCATGGAAATTGCATTGAAAACAGGTTAGGCCTTTGGCAGAATTAGATAGAATTTCACCAAGGCCTTGGCAGCGCTAATGCACTTTCACACCTAACTTTTGATTTCTAATTTTTTTTTATTCGGATAATATACAAAAATAAATAATAAGAATAGTTCTAAAAAATAATAAACCTATAAATAATATTAGTAATTATAATAAATTGTCTTTGGGGAATGGGTAATCATGATCGCTATTCATCTGGGTAATTCCCTATCATTTGGGTAGTTGTCGTCTGGGCCAAGTTGGTTTTGGGCCAAAGTGTCATCTGGGGCCGAGTTGGTTTTCGTCCAAGTTGGTTTGGGCCAATTTGGTTTTGGGCCGAAGTGACCTGCTACCGCCAGGCCTACCTGTATGTTATTGTAGGTGCTGTACTGGTAGATAAACTGTAATTCTCTTGTCATGAATTTTAAACGCATAATTAGATTATAAAACATACCACTTAGATAAGGGATACCACTTAGATACCTATTTATTTATTTATTTATTCTTTCTTTATACTGCAGGCACTTTCAGTACTAGTGCACTGATTTTCAAAGTGGTACAGTAGATATCTTAAAAACAGGATACTATAAAAGGAATCAAATTTATAAATAAAAAATATAAACAAACATAAAAACAAAAATCAGTCATAGAGAAAATTCAATGCAAATCTTGTGTAATAAGGAAATTTTTAAATGTATGAATTGACATTTCTTTAAAGTTAATTTTTAGTTCATTTGGAAGTTCATTCCAGCTTTTGGATGAACGGTAAGTAAAGGTTCTTTTGCCATGGGAAATATTCCAAGTGGGGACAACTAAATTGTTATGGGTTTGGCTACGACATTTACATGGCATAATATCTGGCAGTGAGTTTACATAAATAATGAACAATAGTGGACCTAATATTGAGCCTTGTGGTATACCAATATTTATATCCATAAGATCTGATTGAGTAGAATTTATATTTAGGCCTAGCTTAGCCTGGTTGCTGCACACAGGGTTGGATATATTATATTACTTCCTCTCTAGGCCTAGGCTATAAGCTAGGAAACACACACAAGGAAAACAGGTTAGGCCTGTGGCCGAGTTGGATCGAATTTCACCAAGGCCTTGGCAGCGCTAACGCCCTTTCGCACCTAACTTTTGATTTCAAATTTTTTTACCTCAGTGTTCTTCTCACATTCCCAACATATAATTATAAAACATTTTTACATGATTCAAAAGCTCATGTACATTTTCCAACAAAAAAGATACCTTCACAAATACAGGTTGATACAGCGTTTCCACGCTTGCTAGCACGACAAGCTGTACTGATTTGCAATTCAATCAGGTAGAAAATTGCCAGAATGTCCGAGTCAATTCTTATATTTTGAAACAATTAAAATTTGAATTGGAATTTTCCCATGAAACATCCGACAAACAAAATGTGGCATCATGAAGTACCATATTTTTGTTTAGCTTACTGTCTGTAGGGGCTGGCCCTATTTGTATGGCTGTGTACACATTTGGATCATTTTACTAATTGTAAAGTAATTACTGTGTTGTACTATGTGAATTTCATGTGCAACACATCATAATCAAACAACACCACCATAAAATATAACGCATGACTGAAATGACACACGAATTCAAATAAATAAGTTTTCATAAACGTTTAAATTACATAAAACTTTGCACTGTAAACTCGGACATTCCTGGCAATTCCTACTGATTGCAAATGGCTGCAGCTCTCGTCGTGCTAGCGAGCACAGGTTTGCTGTCGGGATATGACCGGTTGAGCCGCCGACAAGTTGAGCCGCCGGTAATTTCTATGGAACGCCAAGCACGTCTCTCAGTGAATGTAGTGCGTCTCTCAGTGAATGTAGTCGGCTTGCCGATGTCATCAGTGAATGAACCCCCCCTCCAAGCTACATATTCATCACACAGTCTTGTCAATAGTTGATTTGCTCGTATTGCCGTTCGTGATGTATAATTGTTTAATTGAAAATTAGAATTTTGATTATTTTATGTACTACATTTTTATAAAAATATATGAAGTTGTATAATTGCAAAATCGTATTAAAAATGTAATTTTATGTACTACATTTTTATAAAAATAAATGAAGTTGTAGAATTGCAAAATCGTATTAAAAATGTGTTTATTTACATTTGGTTTGCGGCGTATTTCAATTAACTTATTCGTTATTTGTACTATTTTGTTAAATTATTTATTATTTATTATATATCAAAGTTTAACAAATAGTACAAAAATAAAAATATATAAATTATAAAACCATAGTAAATACTGTATAATAACATAGGCCTAACACATTTAAATTTATTGTTTATAGTCATGCAAAATCATATTAAAAATGT